AACAAAAAGATACATGTAAAGGTCATCTTAGGGACTATATTTAAAATACTTCAGAATGCTAATCCCCTTCACATTACCACATTTTTTGCTGCCACAGAAACACTGACCACATGTAAAAACTCACTAACTGTGAATACGACACAAACACCGGCTGTAGAAATGCCCTCAAGGAAAGCAGTGGCTCAATCTTCATGTCTTACATTTTCTCTAATCCTACCTGCTTTAGTGAGATTTTTATGTCAAATCACAAAATTACTTTAAACTAACTATTAAACCTAAGTTGATTTAACTCACACTCAAAGCAGCAAGCGAACATATGCTTTCAAAGTTAAACCAGTTTAAAATGCAGGTGCTCTTTCACACTCATCGTTATCCGTCAAGTGGAAGAACTAGTGTGGAGGTGCTCGAACAGATGGAGCGCGGTGGGTTTGTGCATTTATACAAAATCTAATTTTGGTTCTTTATTCAGTTTAGGTAGCTGGTTACTGCTCGCAGTGATTCTGTGGCTTAAAGTTTCACTGCGGCACTGAATCTCACCAGTTGTCAGTAATTTTTCACAATCCCCGGAGAGCGCCCTCGTCATTTCTGTCAGCCTCCCTGTGGCTATGCGGGGACAGGGAGGGCTGTCAAACTGTGCCTGCCCGAGAGCGCCTTTTCATGGGTTGATGAGTCATAATAAGGGCTGTCCAGGTGGTGAAAATGAGGCTGTGTGAGTGTGTGTGTGTGTACATTTACAGTACAATAAATTTGTTCTCCTCTTATGGATGCTATACTTTATTATAAATTTTTGATCACGTCAAGTCAGTTGTACGTATGTGTGTGTGTGTCTTGGGGGCTAGAGAGAGAAGGAAAAACAGAGTAAGAGAGAGAGAGAGAACAGGAGTCAGTGGGAGGGAGAGGAGAGGCGAGCAGAGCGGAGTGTTCACTCCATTTCTTGGGGATTTTCGAGTCTCTCACTGCGGATTGTCTCCTCTTCTTTAGAAGTGAAAGTTGACTTTAACTCCGTTAATCATTCG